CGTAGTCCACTCGACCTCGAGGTCTAATTGTTAAATAGTACAAGTAATCCAATGAATCTAGACTTATCAAAGGGAAACATTTTGCTTTAATTTTTTGGGATTCCTRTGTTATCATTTTAGCAAAGACCTGGGTAATAGTATGAAACAGGAATCCCAAACCTATAAAAATGCACGAACTTGGACAGGTGCCTGAGGAGGAGACTGCAATGTATCATGGATGAATGTGATGTCATCGTATGTAGTACAATATCAGACTTACAGACTGTGATGTGCTGACATTAGCTTGTGCCGAATTCAAGCCAAGTTGACTTATAAGACCCTGGACAATTTGCTGAAAAATAATACAAGAACTTATAAGACATTTCCAATGTACAACGATACAATATGTTTCAACTTAATATATATTCCAAACATACAAAAATATGAAAAATGATCCCTTGACTATAATTATTGCTTCATCTTGCTAGAGATTTGTCACCATAGAGACTTTAATCTACAGCAACYAGTTACAATATTACTGGTCATGAAGGTTGATGGACTAACAGCAAGTACCTGTGAGAGATTCATGACATCTGGAGTCATATTAAAACCTGGGCCATCACCATTACCACCATCTTGCCCTGACCTCTCGGCACTGGCTCCATCTGAAAACCCAGATTAATTTACATGTATCAACAGGAAAAAGAGCTACTATTACATCTATACAATCATGTAATTTGTGCATTAATCTGCTTAATTAATAGTTAGCATGTAAAACAAAGGATCAAGAAAAATGAAAATAACAGAAATGATAGAAAATATATTCATACCTGGATGTGTTCTTTGTGTTGGTGGCCTTCGCTCAACCAAGTGAATCACACATCCATCAACTCCTGCAAAATGGGGTTGAACATTAAGACAAACAAATCAACAGGTTTATAGTGCATCCATTTCTATATGCATGCAGGAGTTTTCTAAATGCATACACACACATGTAAAGTAAGGTGTACAATTGCATTAAATCAAAAAGATTTCTCTAGCATTTTGATAATCATAAAGTTTAATGTCTAACATTATTACCATAGCTTTGGAGTTTAGATGAGTCTTGCAGAACCTTTCCCTTAAATATAAGACGCTGCCTTTCTGCTGGTATTCCCTATAACCAAAACAGCATAACATTAATACATTAATATAGATTAATAGATATTAAATAAATATACCACAATTACATGATTACTACTGTAAGATGCACAGTGATAAAATGCACAATTCATACTGTACAACTGATAAGACTGAAATTTGTTAATCTAAATAAAAGTTATATTAAATTATAATGCACACTTTTAGTAAGGAAAGCTGAAACAATACACTAGGTAAAATATAGTTTGAAACACTGTCTTCCCTTGAACTATATGTTTAATAATCAAAATCAATATTTGAAATGGATTACAATTGTTACATTAGTTCATTACAGTACATTAGTTCATAAGACTCAGTTACAGCTCCCAGAAAAGGTAAGAAGAGGATAGGTCRAGGAGGAAGTTCAGTCCTAAAATATTTTAAAAATTTGTGCATGTTGTGTATACATTAAATTGTGCAGAACTTGAGAGAATGCAATGACGAGGCATTTAATTTCATTTACAAGCTTGTCTATAAATATAATACATTTGTATATGTATGAATTGGAACATGATCAACGAAAAACACAATAATTGCGACCTACGCAATACATTTACTAGGGAATAGATTATAGTGAGAGCACTATCCATAGGCTATTTATGAAACAAAYATTGATATCCTAGCTCACAGTACAACATGTCATTTTCTAAATTCACGTTTAAACACTTCAAACTGGGTATGTAACTTAATGTTATAAACTTACAACAGCTGATGCGATCTGGTTTTTGAATTCCTCCACAGTAGCCTGAAAAATTAAAATATCGTTSGTGATTTCTAATATTGATTATCTTAGACTTAAAAACTACATTATCCTCCCTAGAATTCWGATAAACTCCCCATAATTCTGGCAACACCAAACCTACATGTAGAGCTTACCTCGTCTGAGACTGTAAATTCTCGCGTTTCTGAGTCCAAAGTCTTTACTGTCACTTGCATTGTCATCAATATATAATATTCTATCTATTTATACTRAAGAATATCCTTTCAAAAGTAAATTTAAGAAACTATACGAGAAAATTAAGGCGAGAACAGATTTTGAAAGTGATGCAAGGAAATGTTAAAACCTAAGACCGCGCGATTTACAGAAGTCTGGGACAGAGAGTAGTACTTAGTCTTCGCTTATAATAATTGAAACGCAAGAGTATGGAACCTAGTAAACATGGCGGATAAGCAGTTTATTTCTATAATTTTTTTCTGGAATTCGGGGTTTTAGAGAGAGTAATTTCGRGATAAAAGTACTATGAGTTATAAAGTAACCATATTTAATCAAACAGGAACTGATTTTTTCAATCGATGGCAAGATCTTCCAGACAGTTTATTTCTACATATTTTCGAGTATCTGCGTCCTAGAGAAGTCCTTTCATCAAGTCAAGTTTGCAAAAAGTGGTACAGAAATGCAAAAGACGAACTCTTGTGGAAAAAACTCTTTATAGCTTACTACATGGGCATACACTCTTGGACTARAGGMACTAAACTTTTRTCTCCCTTAAGTAATTCATGGCTTTTGGAGTTCCAGCGACTCTWCTCGCAAACTCCAGTGATTGAAAGTCAAATTCTTGACGAGCATCAAGACGAAGTTTTACATGTTGCTTTCTCGCATGATGGAAGGCTATTTGCGTCAAGTTCCAAGGATTGTCAGGCTATAGTATGGGATATCACAAGTGGTGAAGCRAGGGTGAAGCTAAAGCTGGACTTCAGGGAGCATAGATGGGAGTATGTGCAGTTCTGCGAGTTTTCAAAAGATGAYACTTTGWTATTAGTTTCGGGGATCAATGAACGACGACGGCTTAATTTTATGGGTGAGTTGGATTCATTTATTATACTGATTGCTTWTAAATGGAGTCAATGGTCGAGTGCACCTCAAATCTAATCAGCTGATATGCTAAAAATTAGATAATAGTCCCAGGTGCAGACGTACTTGACATGTGCAATAGTTAAAAATAGTAGCGATAAGGGATTTGTTTCACAAATGTAGTGTGTTTACAGGCATAGATAATGATGAATTAGCCATCAATATATCCTTATAGTGAGAGTACCTTAATATTCATCATCATCATTATAATCATTATTAACAGCCATTGCTATCGTCATCATTATCATCCATTACTATAATCATCATTATTTTAGGAATCTGAGGYTGCAGATATTTTTCAGGGGAGTGTGCCAGTTGCTTATAAGCTATCAGGGGTGTGAGGGGGATGTTGATTGCTCATAAGCAAGGGATATCCACTCCTTATTTAATGTWATTAGGTRGACTCYCCCYAGATCAGGTATTCGTTGCCATGTACCAGTTTAATGATTATTTTCKGKSTCAGGGATGAGATTTTGAAATCAGGATCTATGTGTTTGGGATCAAGATCACAAAAGTGATAGGGATGGATCAAAGATCAAATGTGATACTTTTGGGATCAAGGATCARACTTTTAGCTCAGGGATCAATGATCYCAGAAACAACTWAATACCCCTGACCTGTGATATTTTCTAGTGATTTGTAGCCTTGATACTAACTCCATTTATAAACCATCTTTAATAGGTGAAATCATAATCTGYRCCATTGAGGGAGGAGAGGAYACGAGGATCGTTCAAAATGTGATCAGTGAGCCCTATGATGTATTTGGTGCGTGGTTGACYAAAACCCATTACATCAGCGGATCCTTTGAGTTTCGTGTCCCGTTTTTCGATTCATCRATATCAGAATTATGGGCCAATTCCATATATGGGGGTACTCCCAMAAGGCTTTGCAGGGTGATGAATGAGAATGGAAGTTCAGTACGTAATGTCCTTGTCGCTAAACCAAGATTCTTGAACAATGATGAACTTTTACTTATCTTTACTCATGGGATAGTTACGTATATCCCTCATCAAATYGTAATCAAGAAAATAACATTTTCGGCAACAAAGGCTCCRAATCTCAACGTTCTTCCCGATGACATCAACAGTGACGAAACTTCACGAAGTCTCTCCGACGACGAAGAGACAGACATCGGTTTTACGAAACTTGATCACGTGATTGAAACTCACGCACATATAATAGGAGTAGGMTTGTCTCCTGACGAGTCCATGYTGTATGTGAACTGTCGTCCRTGGGTTAACAGAAGCAGAGAAGATGCAGCCCGCGTTAGACCACGTCTGAGCCCCGCAGCTCCAGGMCACGAGGAACTTGAGATCTCAGATAGTATTCATACAAGAGTKTATAGTTTAGCAACCATGAAATTCGTCAAGGAACATGTTGGACACAAGGCGTTTACTCCAAATGATAAATGCTTTTTTATCTTCCTGGATGTCGCTGACTTRTTGGTTGCCAGGTAAGTTACGTGTTGCTTGTTGCGTGARTTGCGGGACTAARATGGCGTGAAAAGTTTCACGTACGCCTTGAAAATGCGTTTATCACAGTAGTGCGTACTTTTACGTTTTTCAGTTGTACGTGTATTTTTGCATTGGCAGAATAGTGGTCCTAAACTATTCMGTTGCWCTACCGATGCCCATTGCGTTGTTTTCAGGCTGTGAGGTTCTCAAGTGTTCCATATTTTTATATTTTTTTCAGTGGAGCAGAAGACGAATGTGCCCATGTRTGGGATCGTCACTTTGCTGTTAAATTAGCAACATTGAAAGGTCAYCAAGACGTGGTTAATTGTGTTGCATTCAATCCACGTGATCCAGAGATCCTGATTAGCGCKAGTGATGACCACACCCTGCGCGTATGGAAGTCAAGACGAAAAATCTACAAATCTTAATCTACTGGACGACAAAAAGTATTAATGAACACTGATTTTTGTTTATAAAAATGGTAAATTGCTATCACAACGTCAGGGGCAACAATTGAGAACAATCTGAAGAGTCTCTTCGATATATTTCTTACCATTGAATACCCAAATGGTAGATAACAATTTGTAGTCTGGGTTAAAGATGACATATTGCTTAYAACYKCTGACAAAATCTTTACTGAAGCTCGAAATGCCATCCATAGAGTTTCGTCGAAACTSWRA